CTGTCTGCAAATGTTTCAACACTGGATTTCCTATTATCAGCTATATTCTTGTAAAAATGAAAAAAAAGAACAAAAAAAATTTTGAAAGAAACATTTCCAATTTATTCCATCTTTTTTTCTGCTTTCCCAAAATCAGTTACAGTCTTTGATGTATTTTTTGCATCCAATCGGTCAGACAAACTCAACAGCAACAAAAATATCAGAAATGAACAAAATATGACAGGTAAAAAGATAATTAGACAAATTTTTAGAGATAACCTTGAGTAAAAAACGTTCCCTAATTTCGAATCCACAGCCAGCACAAACAGCGTCATCTAGTGGCATCCGAATTGCAGAACTTTGAAGGCACAAATCTTCTGGAAAAATTGGAATTTCTAGAAGAAGCAAACTCATTTAACAATTTTATTATTTATTTATTTTTTTCTATAAATTTAGTGACTTTTTAGTGACTGTCTTACTGTTTTTACATTTTACATTTAAAAAGACACAGAAAAACAGTAGTTGCAGAAGCTAATCAATTAGGAAAAAAATTGAATTAAAAATACAACACATAAATAAAGGTATCTGCAAAATCAATTTAGCAATTTTTTACTTTTATCAAACTGAACAACAAAAGAGGAGTTTGAAGACGATGAAATTGGTTGATCAAGATTTATCAGTTGTGGCCATTCACTGAAATATTAACAGACAAAATAAAGTTGCAAAAAAAAAAAAAGAAAAAACAAAACAAAACAAAAAAAATATAACGTTTTACTTGTTTCCCATCCAAAAAAAAACCACACTTAATGAGCACTTTACATCAATCTAATAAACCAACTTTTACCATCGTTCACTATTATCATAATTAAACTTTGAAAGAAAAATAATTGACAACAAATTCAGTTAATTAGCAGAGAAAAACAGTAAGAATTTCTTGTCTTTTTTTTTTTTTTAAAGACTAAAAGAAAAACTAAACCAGAAAGAATAGAAGCTTATGGATTATAAGGTCTATTACCTTTGCATGTTGATTTTTGGATCAACGAGACTCCAAATCTATGCAAAACCAAAAGCAATTCTTATATAATGCACATGCAGCCAAACAGTTACCGTATCGCAGCGATACACACTGCCCGCCTCTAAGCGATTAACCACTCAGACAAACATCGTGCAGTCAACACGCCTTCAGCGGCCTTCTCGGGTTTGCCGAAGACTCTTGCGCCGTCTTTGTCATATAGAGTCCTGGCATTTTACTGCAAAACATATCCAGTATTGTGCTTCTGAAGTTTTGTAACAATGAAAGGGTCATTTTTATCTTCTATTTGATGATTAGCTTTTCTGTACATCAATTTAGTCATTTAATGTGACTGATAAGGAAAAAAGGAAGAAAGAAAAAACTAATTATTTCCGTTATTTCCTGCGCTTTATTTTAAGAGAAGTGAAGGTAACTTAACACAAAAAAAAAAAAAAAAAAGAAAGGAACAAAAACAGAAAAAACAATTTGGTTGTTGTATAAATAATATTTTTTTTCTTTGTACTTTGTTTTCTTTTAGTATTCTCAAGAAAAACCATATCTTTTGCTGCAGCACTTAAAAAACGATTTTTAAAGTGTTGTTTATCTGTTTTTCTC